AATATAGAATGGAAGGAAGAAGAAAAATAAAACAAAACAAGGTAAATTACAGGTCAGATTGATACCATACAATTAAGAAGAAGATGGAGCAGAATTTAGCCGGAAAACCAGCCCCAGTGCAAGAATTACGATATATAACCAAGTGCAGAGCTGCAAGACACCCAGAAGCATAAAATAAGAAGAAAGCATTCCCAAAAAAAATAGGGCCCAACGAAATTTCCAGATCTATAGTGGTCCAAGGGAATTGCTTTAAAAAAAGAATACCAAGTTATCCTTTTTTCTGTTTCTTTTTTACCTGATAAACAAATACCAACAATAAGGACTTTTTTTTAATTATTTCTTCAGAAACCAAAAAATACGAAGAATCAAGAATACCAAGCAAGTAATCTTTTTTTTCACGAAAGGAATATGCGCGCGCGCGCGTGTAGAGAGAGAGAGAGAGAGAGAGAGAGAGAGAGAGAGAAGATAATAGCATCTTACTCCTTTTGCTGTGTTCCAAAGCTTCGGAAGAAGATTGCTAAGGGCTAAAACTCTACAAAAAGTACCGAATATGGGGTAGTGGGTATGAAGAAGGATGGCGATTGAAAATGGAAAGGCTTATGCCATCTGATTATCTGTCTGCGTTTTGATATGCGTCACACTTAATGCAGCCGACAGATGCCCCCTATTGGAGGCAGGATCGGCACCTTATCATCCCTCTCGGGGTGACTCTGTGCATAGTCGTGATGCATTTTTTCCCCCCTGCGTCCAATTGGTACTGGGAATGTGTTAATGCTAATATCACTGTAATCCAAAAATTAGTTAAAATCAGTTTGAGATTGAAACCATAAATATGTGAATAAAAAATACACTTTATTTTTTTAAAAAAATATATTCTTACATATTTATGAAAAAAATGAGCGGGAAGGGCGAGGGAGAATGAAAAAAAAAAGAGAGAGAAGAAATGAAAAATAAAAAAAGAAGATATGTAGTTAATAGTAAGAAATAAAAAATGCATTAAATGTTTAAATATCTTTAAAATATAACATAGAGGAAGAAACACACTTATTATAAAAATTATGACTTCTAAAAAGGAATAAAGAGAGTAATAATTTTATTATGTATTTCAAACAATTGGACGCATTTGAAATCTAAATTTAAAATCTAATGTAAAAGAACAGATAATGTATTTATTATGTATTTCAAACAATTTTTTTTTAAAATTTAATATCCTTGTTTTATGAGATGGGGATTTATTATACTGTATCCTTTTATTTTTATTTACGTATTTTTTATTGAAAAATAAAAGAACAGATCATACTTTATCCAATTTTTTTTAAAAAAAGCATATTGTTGTTTTTCTGAATAGTATAATGATTAATATTAATATTAATATAAATATAAAACTAAAATTTTATGATTATTTAAAATAATGAATAGTGCAATGCTTATTAATTTTGTTTGTGATTTTTTCCCCTTGCAGGCACGCTAGAAGAGCTAATTTTTAATATTGGCGTTAAATTAAATCTGACTTCTCAGTTAAATAATGAGCCTCAAGGTCCTTTATAATAATTTTTCTCATATGCAAGTGTTCAAGAAATATAAAGAAAATAGACAATGCCAAGAAAAAAGAGAGGAAGAGTATTGAAGACTAAACGAATTGGTAGAATATGATGTAGAATTTAACCTCAAGGTAAACGAATTTAAATGAAATGAGAATTCAAAAAATAATACTCCTCCGGTCCTTATTATAAGACCCCAATCCATTTTGTCTCTTATATTTATGTATTTTTTTCCAAGATAATCCTTCTAATAATGATAGTTTTAGCCAATATACTTAATTAGCAAGGATATTTTAGGAATGACAACACTTATTTATTATAAATAACCAACTTAACTTACTTCCTTAATCTCCTCAAATAAGTCAATTAGGTCTTATAATTAGGACCGGAGGAGTAGTAACTAAAAAGTATTATATAAAAATTTGTTATTAATATAAAGTGTGATTTGTCATTAAATTCAGAGCATCACATGTACATTAAAAGAAGATTGTTTCATATAAATATAACGGAAGTTGGTTAATACTAGTGTTCTCATTTGGAGATTCAATATTAAATCTTAATTCGTGCATTCACCCATTTTATAAATTTATAAATTAAAATTTTATGTTAGGTTGATATTATTAAATTGTATTCAATTAAATTGGATTGAATGAAATCAAATGAAACTGAAATAAAAAAAGAAAAGAAAAGCATATGATGATAACAACATTTGTTTTTAATTAGGAGAGTTACTTGTCATGAATTTAAAAAACCACTTGTAACATTTTGCCAAAAAGACGAGGAAATGCATATATATACAGATATACTGCCACAATAGCTTACCCCAGTTATTATGTGCTTTAATAACTTTTTCATGACTTAGATAATTTCAATCTCGAAGATATTCACAACATTTATTCAAAAATTTAAACTAGAAATATATTTAAGACATTCATTAGAAATGTATAAAATATTGAAAGCAATTACTAAAAAGAAAAGAATAGCAAAATTTTATCATATTAAATGACAAATTTATTGATGCAAAAGAGTTTAAAGTGTGTAAAGTAAAATTGCTTATGGATGTAAAGCACCACCCATTGCAACTATGATGGTTGGGAGCACACTAACAAACAGACGGGGAGACGAGGAGCAGGGACAGAATTTGTGCAAGGCCCATAGAGTTTTTCCCTCAAATTTCCTCTAAAAGTTGAAAAATGGAGAAAAAAACTAATTTCTCAAATTTACTTATTATTAATTTTCTCCTCTTCATAATGAAAATACTATGAGAAACCACTCAATGTTAAAATTCTTAGGGTTATATATATGGGTGAAGTCACATATACAAATTTTTATTCTCTTTTTTTTATATCAATATAATTTTCATATAAATTATAATTAAAATAAAAGAGTTTGAGTTGTTCTAAGGAAGTTTTATTTAGATTTAAATTTATTATTGTCGTTATTTTTATTTCAACCTTCTTTTTATTATTTTAATTTATGATCTAATATATTTTGCTTAATATTTTTATTTTAAAACAAAATATAAGGAATAATTTATTTTAATTTAACTTTAGTTATTAGATGGTGTTATTTTTTCATTTGAATTTATTTTTCATGACACTGCTTAAAAACAAGTTAGAAATTAAATACGAATATTATTGTCCCGGGAAGTGTCATGTTTTCTGTCCTCTCCATATTTTCTGCTTTATCCAAACACAATAGTTTGATGTATGATTAGTTAAAACAACTTGCATGATGTATTTTGCATCATTTTTTAAAAAAATTAGTAAAATTGTAAGGAAAAGACAGAAATTCTAAATATTATCAAACATAAGGACATGAGTTTTAAATTGAAAATATCACCTTTGTTTTTTGTTTTTCTGGAGAGTACTTTTCTCTTGCGGTTGGTCATGTTCAACACTACAACACTTTTCTTTATAAACATTTTTTTTCATCTAACTACGAAAAACTGTTGGATATCTCTTTAGGCAATTTTTTTTGGGGACCTTTTTAGGCAATATTTTTAAACTATTGTATATTCTAGTGTTACTTGTTGTTCAAGGGAACAATTCTAATTCTTAAGATATAAGTATGGGTATTTTGAATTTGGATCAAGTTGTAATTGTAACTCTAATTTTATTTTTCAGGTCGCTCTTGATTTTTTTTAATGCAACCTTGCCCCTCAAAGATTGGGGCTAAAATGGTTAAAAAAAGTATTATGGATAAAATTGCACAAAAAAATTAAGGGTAAAATTATAATACTTAAAAAATCGGAATGTTGATTGTATCTAAACAAAATAAGATCGTGAGTAAAATTATATATTTACCTTTTAAATTTTAAACAAGCATTTCCGCAATAACGTAAAAATAGTGACCGATGGTGGTAGTGCGCTAAAAGCCAATGATGGTAGTACCATGGTAGTATCGGTGGGTGGTAGTGGTGACGGCTGATGGCGGTGTTGGTAGAATTAGTGGTGACTGGTGACATTGGTATTGGTCACCCTTGGTACCATGGCAGGCGGCTGCTAATGATAATAGCCATGATAGCCGCTAAAGCTAGTAATGCGACAGCGACAGCATCAATCGGTGTAGATGGGGTTTGGTGGTGATGGTTTTGGTACGTGACGAGCTGGTTAATTTGGATAAATACTACTACTTCCTCTTATGTTTAATATAAAATTTTATTTAATTTTATTTTAACCTTAATATAAGATTCTTAGATTATTTTGTCTTTCGTATTTATATATATATTTTTAAATATAAAATCTTATTTAATTTTTATTTTAATAATAAATATAAAACTCTTCATTTATTTTGTCTCATGTATTTATATGTATTTTTTCAATACAACCCTTCTAATAATGGTAGTGTTAACTAATATATTTAATTAGTAAAAATGTTTTAAAAAAGACAATATTTATTTATTTACATAACTAACTTAACTTATTTTCTTATCTATTTAAATTAGTTTTAAAACCAGAAGTAATACTGTAATAAAATTTTAATCGGACCTTATATGACTACTACAAGACTATAAGCCGTATCGGCTCATCAATCATTTTAACGTACAAAGAGTACCATGGCGTATCGGCTTATACAACACATTACTCGCAAAGTAATAAACCCATACTGCATTGTATTAGAGCTTATATTATCATGTCTTGTGCCAAATGGATTACGGAATCTAACACCGCCCAAGTGATTCAAAATTGCAAATCCAGAAATAAGAATTATCTCCATAATGATAACAGCATCATCATCCAAGGGGAACCCCGGGGGGGGGGGAAGAAACCATGAAACCAAAGTAAAACTTCAATTCTTGAACTGCATTACTAAAGCCGCCAAAGGGGTACAATAGTGCAAATCCACAAACATGAATTATTTCCATGATGGTAAGCATCATCATCATCATCATCCAAGGGGAACAAACCATGAAGCAAAAGACAGACTTCAATTATTGGACTGCATTATTAGAGCCAGCCACTTGTTTGAAAAACAAGGTTACGTTCATAGTGCTGCTATGCACTCAATTTCAATCTTGGCACCTAATGGCAAGGCAGCTACTTGATATGTTGAGCGAGCTGGGGCGGGCGAAGAGAAGTCTGTAAACATTACAATTACATGGAAGTGATGATCACTGAAGCCACTGATGCATGAAAATACTAACAAATTACCTTATGTGACAACTAACAGAAGAAATAATAACATCAATTGTCAAGGAAAATCACACAAATTCAGCATATTCAATGATCTGGTCGCTCAGAAAGAACACCGGAGCTTCAACGAGAGAAGAAGGAATTTCAAATGTAAAAGCTGGTTATGCAAGACTCGTGCATGAAAGCTTAATCTGGCTATAGATGAAGCAACATCAATGTATAAATAATGGTATAAATCGTCAGCGATGGAATGCATAAAAAAATTTAATACACCATGCAAAACTTTAAGACTTGCATGGGTTGGTAATTATCCTGGAAGTTGACATTTAAGCAAAATGTTGCATGATTGACACAATAACGTACGGGTCATGGAAATATTTCAATTGGCAGACAGAACTTACATTTACCATAAATCTCATTTACTTTCTTGAAGTCATTCAAGTCAGCCAACCTGCAGTTGTTAAATGATAGATAACTAGTCACCGTGCAGTTGGCAATGGCATTAATAAAATCCAACCGATGGAAAAGACAAGACTTCATACATAATTGTTGTCTTAACAACCGACGAGTAGCTTGCCCCACCAGCCTTAAGAATTTCTCCCATATTTTTTAAAAGCTGCGGTTTAGAATTACCAAAATATCAGCCATAATATCTGCAGGATGTGTGCTTTCATGGATAAGCTAAGCCAATACAGCATAGTAACCTATAATAGATTGACCGGTAGTTTTCCGTGTTCCTCTTACATTAGGAAGGAATGATCACGGCTCAAGCAAACTATCTACGCTAGCATATCTTAACTATTTTAGCAGTGTCTTTGATAAACGGTTTCAAAGATGCAGATAGTTCTCATTCTTCGAAGTTAAACTAAATCATCATGCAACTTTGTTACAAGTTTAGAGGGCCAACTTTCACCTTAGCTCACAGCAAGGAGTGAGCCTGTATAGATAACACGTTCTAGTCCAAGCAAACCAGAGTTAAGCCCAAGTTCCAGTGCATACGATTTCAGCATTCCTCAAATGAAAAGAATCATGGTTGCAGATACCGAGAAAAGGATGAATAGCATATATTGTCAAACTGAATGAGGCGATTTACGCCGCAAATGAGCAATCAAAGTCAACATGTACTGAGCAAAGGGAAATACATCATAACTACTAAATGTAAGAGAAATGAAAAGTTATGTTGCCAGTTCAGAGGCATTTTTACCTGTTCTGTCTGGTCTTCAACATTGTCGGAGATAAACTTCCCTGTCTGCATTTAATCACCCAACACATATTATCAGAAGAGTTTCAGCACACAGCCAGCATACTTCCACATGTATGCAGATGCTGAGAGACTAGGGAAATGAAGCCATAAACAAAGGTCTAACGTTCAGTAGCAAACCTCGGGAACGAGACCAAGAACACCAGAGACAAACAAAAGGTTGTTGGCTTTGATTGCTTGAGAATATGGACCCAGTGCAGCTGGAGCCTTTTCAGTTTGAACAGCTTCCTTGAGACCTACAGTCAATGAAATAAATAATAATGACACAGCAGGTGTTTGTTGCAAACAAAAAAGATCTCTCTTAGCTCCCTCTTTCTTAATTTTTAGGACGAGTATGAACAAGGGTCAAGACATAGCTTCAGTTTAAAGTCCTAATAATTATGGATGATTTCAGTTTGCTCTGTGATCATTAAAACCTAATGAAAGGTAGTCATAATTTTTCTCCAATGATTTGGTGAACCATCCACGCATAGACATCCGATATTGAATTCAGCACAAGTCAAATTGCCAGTTTCTGCTGAGAGGCCATTGATTTGCTGAACGTGGCAGTAGCACACAAACCAAACTAAGTTTTAAATGCCATTAATCATCGCCAACGACCAACTTCAAGGAAAAATGTATGTATCAGCAACACTGTAGGTATAAGTTGAGGTTTTGGTAAGTGGTATGGTATGATTAATAATGCAAAAGCAAATTCTTATTCCCTTCTCATCCTGTTAAAAAATCTTGTAAGTTTCATCCAATGGCAAACTTTGTTTAACTTTTAGAAACACAACACATCCACAGATATTTAACTACAATTTTATCCCCATCCTTTTTTCGAAGCACTAAGTGCTGGAAAATTTACTCAGAGCCAAGTTGGCATTTTATGGGGATTTACAAGTACCAAGGGCCAGGTTTAGCGCCAAACTAGCAGTACCAGCACAACTTCCAGGGAAGTTGACCTCAGCTCCATCGGATTACTATAACCCGTCTCAATACACTGACAAAATGTATCACAGCGTCCACAAATCACTCTATGAAATTTGAAAGTTAGGTTAAAGTAGCAAAATAATGAAAATAGTAAGAGGAAGGTCCAGTTGACTGTGCGTAATGCATGACAAGTAGTCGACTGGCTAATTTCTGTAAGCATACAGTCAAAAGTACTGTTCTGCTACTTTCCCCACTGACTTGGGAGTTAGAACAGCTTCTGTCCTGTCATCAACTTCCATTTTCAAACATTAAGACAATAATCCAAAATCTTAGCCTTCTCAATTCATTCCAATAGGCCGGCTCCTATACATTTTACAGAAACTAAAGCAGAATAAGTTGGCTTCACCACAGCCTCCCAAATTAAACAGCAAGTCATCAAAGTAAGAAAAGAGACTAGGAGAAGATCGAAACATACGGGAATCAGCGGAAGCGGCCTTGCAAGAGAAGGACAGAGAGCGGTTGGAAGAAGAGGACCTGCGGAAGATCGAACTGGCGACCGAGACAGCGCGCACTGCGACAGGAAAATGTGGCCGGTTGCGCAAGATGCCGGCCCCGGTAGCGGGCGCGTTGAAGGAGCGGACCACACACCACGCCATCTCAGATCTCAGTGCTTTCTGAGTCAGTGAGTCACTCTTTGACGGCGTTTGACTTGGCTCAGCGGCGCCCTGTTGGCGGGATGATTGATGATTCACCACCCTTGATGGGGCTTTAAATAGTATACTGTATCAGCATGGGAAATTACAGTAATAGCCACCTGAGGCAACAAAAGTTCGCTCAAAAGTTTGGAGTAAAATGTAAATGGGTTATCTCCATCGAAAAAGAAAATGCAAATGGACTATCAAGTTACAACTATCTAATCTACATGTAATTAAAAAATAGCCATACTAATATATATTGTATTTTTTGCATCAAATTGTCTCAGAAGGTATGTAGAAAAATTAAGATTTGATTCCTGACAGCTCATTTGAAATTATCTCACATAATTTTTAATATCCATGTGTTGGCCAAAAAAAAATAATAATAATATACATAAACCCGCTCATCATCAAATAATGTAATTCCCAATTATTAAGTTTCGTCTTCTTCTTCCTGGCCGAGATTCACGGTTCCTCCCTGATCGTAGACGCCGGTGCCGGCGGTTGGATAAGAAACAGAACAGCGGCGATGGGTCCTTCCCCCCCCCCCGGGCGGACAAGACAAAAAAAAAATGAAGAAAAGAGACTATTATATTCCCATCCTTCTCCTGTTCGTTGAAAAGGAGTGTCATGCTGATCTATGTATAACTAGGATTTTGTTGTTCTCATTCTTCTTTCTGCAATTTTAAACAAGAATTAGAAGTCCCGCTTAACCGTATAAATATATGTATATATACACACACGAACAAGGTGTTTAAATATTGGAAGTATTCATGATAGAATACTCAATATCTTAAAGTTTTTTTTTGTTATTATATGTCCTGATAGTTTATTTTTATAACAAAAATATCCTGGTTATTATTTGTCATTAAGTTTGACCGTTAAATTATATAGTTTGATTCGTGTTTTTAACTATCAAATCTAATGGTAATAATAATTGAGAACAGAAATGTTATGAAATAAAATTTTTAAAGATATATTATAAAAAAAAAATTTTAAGAGTGCCGAGTGCCCCCTAATGTACATTTTTGGGGTATTTAAAGACCTCGTCTTTTATCTCTTATGTGTGCGTGTATATATATATATTATTGTCGTCGTCAGTTTTGTCAGAAATTGTTTTGTGAGGCGGTGAGTCACTCTTTTACGTACTCCACCTGAGCTTCAAATGTGAATCCATGATCAAATTACAATAATCGAATTACCTCAAAAAAAACACATCAGATATTAAAATTTGATTCCTAATAAATATCCACCAAAACGAGAAATTCAAGATCGCAATCCTTCAAATTTTGTTGAGAATTAATACTGATAAAGAGAATTTGGCCCCCAAAAAAAACTGATAAAGGGAGATTATGGAAAATCGGCGATTATTATAAGCCTCACAAATGTACACACACACACATATATGGTCACATTCATAAAATATAATCCTTCTATAAAACATTATTGCAATATTTGATCACAAAGAGGTCAAGAAAAAGCCACTTATAACAATTAACTTCCATAAATAAGCTTACAAATTAAAATTCTTTCTTAAATTTTATGTTATCGTTGAAACCTGCTGCATATATCTTTCATTTGATCCTATCTCTTTGATCAATTTCGTTATGTCTGTGTATTCCTATGATTCTTCTTCGCAGCAAAGTGTTTTTATTGTATTCTTTCAGCTTTTGATGTTTCTACTGTTTGTTATATGTGTTTTAAATGATTCTCCAATCTAATGTAGTCTTTTTTATTAACTGAGTGTTAAGTTAAAGTTTTCCTAGCGTGCTTCATAGAATTTGAACTTGTATTTTTCTTTTTATAAAGATAGGATAGTTTACCATCCTAAACAACAATTTGTTAGTAATATTCCTCCGGTCCTTAATATAGGACCCATTTAACTAATTTGATTAGATTAAGGAAGTTAGGTAAGTTAGTTAATTATAAGAAATATGACACGTTTTTCCTAAAATACCATAATCATCTTTCTTAATACCCTATCTCCCTCTTCTACTTGATTATGGTTGAAGGAGTATCTATAGGGATAATTTAGAGAAAATTGATAAATATGATAAATGGGTCTTATATTTAGGACCAAAACCAACTCACCAATTGGGTCCTATATTAAGGACCGGAGGAGTATCTCTTTTATTGATCGCCAATCGTTCCATTTTGACTTTTCACTTTTAGAGTCATGAGTGTTTCTTCAACAGTAATTTTCAAATAGTTATTTAATTACTACCTCCAATTTTTAATATAAAACCTTATTTGATCTTTTTTTTGGTCATAAATATAAAACCCTAATCCATTTTGTCTCTCATATTTATATATTTTTTTAAGATAGTCCTTCTAATAATAATAATAGTTCTAGCTAATACACTTGATTAGTAAAGATATTTTAAGAAAGAAAATATTTATTTATTACAAATAACTAACTTAATTTTTTTTAATCTCCTCAAATTAGTCAACTAGTTCTTATAAATAAGACCGGAGGTAGTATAAAAGAAATTTCCCATTAACTGCCGGAAAAAAATATACGAAGAGATGTGGGTTACCTTGCTTAACCCTGATGAATATTATAGAAAATTTAAGTTTTAGATAATAAATTTGTTAACATATATATACATATATGATGGGTGATACATGTCATTTGAAAAACGTCATTTTGAGATTTTAAAGATTCAATGATGTGGGTGAAAACTTTTTGCCTAAAAAAAAAAGAGATTTTTAAAATCTTTCGATTTTTCATCATTTCATTTTCTTTCTTTACTTCTCACAACCCAACAATGCATACGTGAACACAGTAATTAAGGAAGACTACCATTTCATGAACTCAAATGAAGAAACCTTTTTAAGATTTTTTTTTCTTAATTAAGTCGAAAATAAAACTTCTGGAGGAATCAATTTCAAGACAGGATGAATTAACTTGTTGAGGGTGGGATGTCCACCATTATTAAATTGTCATTAAATAATAATAATATATTAATAAACGATGACTTTTTCTTATTGTAAGCTTGCGTTTAAGTCCAAATATTCTTTCTAATTCCCCTGCTTATTAATTATTTTCCCCACACCCAATAAAACAATCTTCTCGTTTTTCTTTGTTATGTCACCAAACTGTTGTCTCTAGTTTTTTTTAATATAATTATTAAATCATTTCAATATAATTACAGTCATGTGTGCGTTTACAATTTTGATAGCTCCACACCCATATCTGTCGTTGGGTGTGGGTGTCAATTAGAAAAGAAAATCTTAAAGGAAAAACATATCAATGGTATTTTCACACATTTATAATTTCATTAATTTATAATTTAGATGACTTTAGAATTGTAATTTTTCCTCAACTTGTTCTCAAACGTAAATACAGAATCAAGAAAGTACACAAAGCATATTTTTGTTATTATTTTTTTAAACAATATGTATTGCAAATATGTGTGTGTATTTCGTTCCTCATTTCCTCCATCAATTTGAACATTTTTAATGAGAATTAATGCAATTAATTAATTGGAAGAGCTTCTCAAAGCAACCAATAACTAAGCACGTTATTCTTTGAGAGATCTTGCAGTTGATCTAAATGGTCAAATAAAATCCTACTGGTTATACTAATGAAAACAAAAATCATGCTTATGAATTAAAAATGAACTTGCTTTAGAAATTCTATCAACTGCCCCTCTAATTCCTTCCACTCCCCTTTTCAATGGAAATTGAAACCGAACTCACACTTTGCATGTTAATCAAGTCAACTTCATAAATAGAATACTTAATTATTCTTTAAATAGAATACGGTGACAAGTGACGTGTAGTAGTATAGTAAGCCTAAATATATGGAAAATCCATATCTGCCCAAGAGGAGTAATGTAATTAATAAATTGAACTAATTAAACCACATTCTCATTCATTATTTATTATTATTATTTGAGAGTATTCTCAAGCTAAGGCAGCCCACAGAAAGAAAGAAAGCAAAACTTTCCAGCACCTTGTTTTGCTTATTTTCCTCTTTCTGTGACACTTTCCCTTTTAACATTCAGAACTTCATATCTCATTTATTGCTAAGGAAGCTCAACCACCATTAAAGCGCACACACATATACATACCAGCTAGCTAATAGGACCTACATTTAGCCTCCTCTTCAACGGTAATACTTGTTTCAGTGACAGCGCCACCCACCACAGTTAGATGAGATCCCAGACACGAGTCTGGTGTTGACATATTTGTGTGTATATGTGTTTTTATTATATGTGTAAAAAACAAGAAGTGCATGGTGGACTAATTGCTACAGAATCAATTGGCTCTAATAAAACCGATCAAAACCAATGGCCTGGCTTGAAAATGAAACCTTTCACCAATGACAACTAACTGAACTTCTCTGAGTGAAAGTAACACTTTTGGCTTTTACACACTAGCTAGTTCTGTGAATACATCTGATTATTTTGCAAGTGTTATAACCTTCATTATTCTCACCTGGAATTCATAGCCAAATTAAATTTAAATGGGAAAATTATAATGAAGTCCCAATCAAAAAACAATTAAAAAACAAGTCATAAAAGTTGTTATTCTCATTATAAGACCTATGATTACATGCTGTTGAGATTATTATTGAGATTTTTTAATAATTATTTTTCTTCTGTGAGACTTTATTATAGTTCTTCTAATTCAAATCACATTTTAACACAACATAACTATCAATTGGTCTTTCTAAGTACAAAGCTCAATTCGTTCCTTTATTACAAATCTGTCACGGTTTCTTTTCCATCAGTATAACAGGAAAAAGAAAAAACCATTATTCTAAACCACCATGCGGCGCCTGCTGTTTCTACTCTCTCTCTCTCTCTCTGTGTGTGTGTGTGTGTGTATATATATATATATATATATTATAGTCCTTTCTAACATTCTTTGAATACAGATAGAGTATGGCTGTGAGCATAAAATCAAATCTGTAAGTTGTTTTCAATCTTCGTTATTTTAGATTCTTCAGATATTATGCAAACCCAAAACTGCTACAGATTTTTTTTCCCCCAAAAAATTGGTGATGCATTTATCAATATTTAATCATTTCATGCCTCATCAAGAGTTCAGAGCTTCTGGACATTAATTATTCTTTTTTTTTTTTGGTAATAATTAATAACCATGTGGCCTTTATTTCTATCAACTTCGCGAGAGTCACACACGTAATCGCTGATTCATCACTGTGCCCTCAATACATTAACATTCCATTACTACTGCAGCGATACGCTTTAGCCGCTAGCAAGCTGACGTGGCATATCCTCCTCGTCCTTGTATAAATATAGCTGAAGCAGCAAGCTAGTTACAGCTCCATTGTTCTAAGGCATCAGCCAAGACCGACTCACTCGATAGGCATTTATAAGTTTCTCTCATTGGCTAACCCTAACTTACAGAGTATTCATCATCACCATGAAGATGGAAGCTAAGGAGTTTGTTTCAGTTTGCGTTGGAATGTCCATGAGAGTTCTGGACCGACTCGTTTTTGCTGCATTCACCTGCATTCTCGCTCTAGGTATGTCTCTCTCTCTCTCATCTTTATTTCTTTCCGGCCGGGTAATGCTAGGCGGCGTTGTTCTTGTACAGAGAGAAATGCCAATAAAAGCTCTCTCGTGAGTAGAAGGTCATAAGTTCGATTTCGCTCGTAACTTTTGATGCTGTTTAGTGCCTAACTGCCTTCAGAGAGAGGAAGGGGATGAAAAGAGAGAAAGAATATTAGGATTGATTCAATTTTCTTGGTTTGAATGTCTTGAGGGTTGTTTGGGAAGGAGGATAGCTAGGTATATTTGTTAAGGTTTGAGAATAATGGTGGAAATTAATTAAACAGGAGGGTCAATAGTGGGGATGATAATGGGAGGGATGAAGGGACAGAGATCAGAAGCAGGAATACTTGATGGAGCTGGGAAAGGAGCAGTATCAGGAGCCATTGCTGCTGTCGAATTGCTTGATTTTGCGGTTCACCATCATCATCAGCCTGTGTCTAAGGTATATTATCTAACATCTATCATCAAATATATATCATCTCTAATAGTAATTCATTTATGCATTTATTACGAAGCTTCAAATTACCAATTAACAAAAAGCTTATTAACCTCCTTAAAGTTGGTATTTTAGTGGGCTCCACTCATTCAACAAAGGTTGAAACTTCAATTTTTTTTTTTGAATTTATTCACTTTACTTACCGGAATTAATTATCCTATAGTCTAAACTAGTACTATATTTTTAGTATCATTATTAAATAATATCAGTCCTCTGTTTTAATGTAGAAATACAGATGACCGCCTCACTTCTTCTATTTCTTTTTGTTTTTGTTTTTAATAGCAAAGGACCCCTTTTATATATCATGGGCTCTAACACACACACAAACACACACACGGGCATAACAAATAAGTTAACCTATTTGTAGCTTGTGTTACGTGGTATTATTCTCATTCTTTTTTGATATATGTGCAAGTGCAGGTTGCCTTATTAAGCAGTTTATTCAATGGGAAGGTCCTAATGGAATGGGTATATCCAGCCTATCAATGGCATGTAAGTAAATATATATATAGTTAAGTGATTGGGAGAATATATATCTGGGAACATTAAGTTTTTACATGTGTCAAAATTATTAAAATAAATTATTAGAATAATGTTACGCATATATATATATATATAATGATTATATATGTGTGATCAGATTAGGATACCAGAAACAATCTACAGAGAAGTATCGGATATTTATGATATGAGAGGAGCGCCAGGATTGTCCCAGAAATTGATTCAAAGCCTCCCTTTGCATCAATTCAACTCCACAACTATGCCAAGTTTATACAATGAATCCTGCTGCTCCATTTGCTTCCAGGTAATAATAATATCCTCCACTTCTTAATATAACATCCAATTGATTAATTTAAAAAAATTAAGAAAGATAAGTAACTTACATTACATATTAATATCTGCTGTCCAGATTTATTTGCTGGACTTATAAACTAATATATGTATATATATAATATAATGATAATACATATAAGTATTTCAAAAAGAACATGTAACACATGCTATAATTAAGTCATTATTTATCTTTTTTAATTTTTTAAATTAATTAACTAAGTTTTGTATCAAGAATGGGAGGTAGTAATTAAATGAGAATACTGTGATGAGACATTAATTAAAACAACCTTAAAAGAATCCAAAGCTGCTCCAGTTTATTAGGTCACCCACAAACATGCAAGTCCTAATCTAAACCTACTTTGTAAACCTACGTACTAATGATTACTGTTTTATAATAATTTCCAATCATATAATATATATATTTATATATATGATGGTATTTGGTTTTGCAGGAGTTTGAAGATGGAGATGTGATAAGGATGCTTCCAAAATGTGACCATATGTTTCACTTTCACTGTATAGATAAGTGGCTCATCCGACAAGGATCTTGCCCTATGTGTAGAACTTATGTTCTTGAGGATCTTTTTGATATTTAGCTTCTTTTTTTGGGTTAATCACTAATTAGATGTTTATTAGTGTTACTTTTGCTTTTTGTTGGGTTTAATTAACTTAATCATCTCTAGGTCTTCAGGGCCTCTCTTTTATTCACCTAAAAGAGGTCAGAAACCCCCCCCCCCCAAAAAAAATCTCTAGAAGCCAAAACTGTACTCTTTAATTTGTTGATGTAATTCCGTTTCAAGCAAATGTTTATAAATTACCTTTGAGTATGTCGACGGGTGCGGGACAATCCCAGAAGCAAGATTGATTAATATATAAGACTTGGATCCTGAAAATCTTCAAGTTAAAAAAACTATTATCAATTGAAGTTATTAATTACTTTTTTTAATTATTACAAGTTTAAAACCACCATGTACCAAGTTTTATGAGATTTATTATTAACCCTAGAAAAAGTGAAAAACATCGTCAGGTTATGATTCATTCGATTAATTTTTTAATAAAAGTATTAATACTCTGTAATTCGACCCAAAAAAAAAATTCATACATAAAAAATATGGGTCCTCAAATTACAATTTTCTAGTCGATAAAATTTATAAATTGAAAAATTTTATCGATTTTTTAAAAGCAATTAGGAGATATTATTGTGTGAAAAAAATGCATATTTCACAATATTGAAAACCGTATCGAACCGATTTATCTTAATTTTATTACATTAGTAAAGGAACGAGTTTCAAACTTTCAATATATTAACTCAATCTTTTTCTGTGGGTAAGTGCCAACAAAGTGGTCCAAGTGCTATTAATTAATTATTATTGAATGAGAAACTGTGGGTAAACACGTGTTATTAAAGGACAAAAATTGAATATTTGTTTGGTTTTTTTTTTTTGACCTGGAATATTTGTTTGGTTGGTACAACAAGAAAATATCTTCTTCTTTTTTTTTAAAAAAATTATTTTGGGATATGTACTCAGAGACGTGACATCTGTATCAAATTTTATGTGCATAGTTGACCCCAGCCAGAAGTGGGAGAATTCATTTTTATTAAGAATGTTAATTGCATAGATTTTTTTTGTGTGGCAACGATGTATTTGCAATTTTAAGATTTTTTCCCCGCCAATTATGCTTTAATTTTTCAAACAAAAATGATTTTTAATTTTTCATGAGCTCTTAATTAATAAGTTCAATAAATAAACTACTTATATTAAAAAACTGTATACTACTTTCTGTCTTTAATATAAAAACTAAATAAATAATTTATGAATATTAAAAATTAATTAAATTAATTATTTATAATAATATATGTTGTTTTTTTAAAAATGTTGTTTTTTTAAAATACCCTTGTTAATCATGTACATTAAAATGGAAGCCCTTTCATATGTACAATTATTATGAGAACTGTTTTTAAAAAATAAAAAATATAAGAGACAAAATGAATCAATATAATATATTTATGATAAAATTAAATTTTAAACTAATTGTTATATTAAGGACTGGAAATAATATTTGTTATAAATAGTAAATACATTATTAATTGACTTAGGCTAAGGGCCTGATCACACCGCCAGTGATTTTCGAAATTTGTTATTAGACCCAACAGCTTTTGCTAGATGGGCCTTTTTGCAACATAAATGGCTCTAATCTCCAGAGGATGTGTATTTAATAATAATAATAATAATAATAATAATAATAATGTATAACAGATGCTATATTTTACATTGATGATAATAATGATTTAATTATACGATAAAATAAATTCAAAAAAATAAAATAGGAACTTCAATTGCACCATGAAGGATGATAGGCACAACAAACACAGAGAGAGAGAGATGCTTTTAACAATTTATAGTCTGCAGTTTATTTTTCCATATTTAGTTAATATAATGAAAAAAAAACATTAAATACAGTTGATAAATTGATAAATATTATTGAATTGAAAAGTTAATTGAATCATGCCCTGCAACAAGCCTGGCAGGTCTCTGTTAGCTAACCTACACTTATTACTATGGCCTTTCGGCAAAAAAAAAAAAAAAGAAAAGGAAGAAGATAAAAGAAGAAGAAATGGGGAATAGACTAAGCACGCCACATGCACACAGGAAGCCGGGAACACTTGTCAAATTTGACATAGTAAAATGCAAACAAAATAGAAATTTTAAGATATACATATTCAAAAAATATAGTATAAATCCTAAAAAAAAAACGAGAATAAATGGTTATAACTATTTACAAATAAAAGAGCCATCACTTCTTAACACAAACATTTTTGAACTATAAGAAACAAAATACATGTTTGAACAAAAAATAATCCAAAAGTTTAATATGATTGTAAACAACAATACATTTTTTTAATCTTTCTCAATAATTTCAATATATATATTTAATTTCTTGTCAGAAAATATATATCGAATCTAGATCATGTTAAATTAAGTCATTTTATAAATTTAAGTTAAAAGAATATATATTATTTTTATTAAAAAATTGCAAAAAAAGAAGAAGTAGAACATGGCATGACTGAGGTGTTCCCAATAAGAGGAACCCAGTGATTAAAAGTGCTTTTAATTTTGATTTAAGTACTTAAAACAAAGGCACTTATTAATGTGATATAATAATATAATAAGCAAATGATTTAAAGTACAGCATGCTAATCACATGGGGGACTAGTTGAACTTGGATGAGCAGCCACAAGCCATCACTAATCATCACCACCCTAATGTTATATTTTTAATTAATTATAGTGACAAATTAAAGTTCCCATTATTCTTATCCATATAATTAATAATTCATATTCCTTTTTAGGTTGATTACTCTCAAAATGAGACAATAACTTTTCAAAAGCTACCATAATTAATAGATAATGTAATGTAATTTATTACTTAGTACCATGTGCTAATAATGTTAGCATGTTGGGCTGATCATTTTTTTTTTAAGGTACGCTTGCTACAAAAAATGGTATTAAACAAAAAGAAAAATAATGAAAAAGAGGTGATTTTATAGATAGGTGAATTTAGCAGTTTTTTTTCCCCGTAGTGTTCTAAACCTCAAATGTAATATAATAGGAAGAAGATGACTGTATATTATAACTGAAAAAAAACACAAATAATATTAAAAAAATTCAGACCTGAAATATTAAAAAAAAGTATTAAATTTAGGAATTGAAGCTCCATTGAGAGATCGAAATTCGTCCATGTAAGCCCTTTTTTTGGGTGGAAAAAAAGAGTTACTTTATACTTTTTCCAGGCTAAATGTAAAATTTATTTTGTAATAATTAAATTTTAAAATGGGTTTTGTATTTAGATGAAACTCAAATTATGGTTTCAAAAATGATTTTACAGTATACGAATTAAATATGTAAAGGAGTTTACTTCGATTTGTGGAAAAAAATATTTTTTAAAAATACTTTTCTCAAATGCCAAACACTTCCTATAAATTGAGATGAGATGATCAATAATTTAAAAGTAGGATCAGGATATATTGACATAAAGTTACAATAATTACTTTCTTTTCTTTTAAATGTGCACGCTTTTGTTTACGTGCGCACATCACCACCAAGTAAAACTAAAAATGTATTGATTTTTTTTTTTTTTCACTCAGTACCATGTGCAATTAATCCTTAATCTTTTGAAATCCTTAATTTCATTATGAAACATCTCATTTTGTCGACATTTATTGTACATCTTTTGTTAATAATTTTTTATCTTTATCTTTTTGAGAAATCTAGGTTTAAACTTTTCAATAAAGTGTCGATGACCTGAAAAGAGATGATCCAAAATAAAAATAAAGTGAGCGAAGTTTCCTCATTTCTGAATTATTTATAATAAATAGATATTGTTTTTCTTAAAATATCCTTACTAATCAAGTGTGTTAGCTAGAATTATTATTATTAAAAGAACTACCTCCGAAAAAATACATAAATACGAGGAAAAAAAATAGATTGGAACCTTATAATTAGAACTAAACTAAAAGTCAAACCAAGTCTTATATTAAGAACCGGAAGTAGTATAAGATGTATCTGACTACATTATTACCTGCAAATTTAGCTGGGAAAATTGATGGAAAAAAATCCTTCATTAAAACTTTTATCGATAAGAATGATTTGATAAATTTTTTATATGAAAAATACCAGTGTTATATAAATTTTTACGCGCAAAGTGTGTTTTGCCTCCATTTAATTACAGAGTTATCATTTTAAATTTGTTTAACAATTTTTTTGGTTGGTAGTCAGCATTTTTTTTCCATGCAAAAAAATTTATGCAAGTTGGGTTTAAGGAGTCTCACATCAGGAGGGGGATTTAACCTCATGATCTTATGGATTATTAGTCAGCTTCTTATCAATTCTTGTTGGCGTAGTAAGCATTTGTTGTTAAAAAGATTAAGGATTAAAATTTAAAAACTAAAAATATATTACCTTTGGTTCTTAATATAAGAACTAATTTGACATTCTGTTTGATCCTAAATATAAAATCCCGATCTATTTTATTTATCATATTTATCTATTTTTTAAAGTAAGGTTCGTTAAATAGTAGTTGTAGCTAATAATCATTATTAGCGTATTTAAAAAAATAATATTTATTTAATACAAATAGTTAATTTAACTATTTTTTTAAAATTAGTTAATTGCATTTTATAAAAAGCATAGAGTATTTTATAAACTTAACGATTATACTACATCTTGATATAAGCCAAAAATTCAAACATGCCGCCTGTCGATGTAAGATTTATGCGCGTGATTGTCGGGTTAACGTCATGCAGACGTCATAATTTGCTTTTCCAATTTTTTTAAAAAGAAAGATACACAAAGATTCACGGGACCAAGGAACTATTTGCTTATATAATTCCCCTTTTTATTTTTCTGTTGTTTGTGCGGCATCATCACTTTCGCCCACCCAATCATCAATTGCTCTTTAGACTTTCATAAATTAAATTAATTAAATTAATTAAATCTTCTGGATAAACTCCACTCAACTCACCTTGTCATGTTGACCGAAAAAACTTGCATCGATAAATTAAATAAACAAAAAAAAGAAGCAGTCATTTTTAATTGTAAATATGAAATTTTTATCACCATCCGCGTCTGGGAACAAGCTTACTTTTCTAATATACATTTATTATTAATTTTATTTATCTCTTATGTTGATGATATTTGCATTACTCACCAAGAGTTTTAATAATCTTAACTA